ATTATGACCTCTTTAGGATCCACAAGCTAAAAACGTGATTTTTCGTACAATCAGGGGCCATAATTCAGGAAGTTACGGTCCGATCTGCGCGAATATTGAAAGGAACCGAGATCTTTTGGTTATAAACTTAAAATTCAAGTTTCAACAAAATTGGATAAAAATTGTGACCTCTATAGGTAGAGTGGCCCACAGACGCAATTATCTGTACTATATAAACTGACCTGTTTTAACAGCATGTTGTCACGCGGATCAAAACTTCGTTTATGAGAAAAGTGCTCTCATTGGCTCGCCCGTGCACTGTAGGCAGCAAACAGTCGCCCAAAATAGACATTCACGTGACAATATTCATTCACTTATTTATCAATGAAGCCATGTAAAAAATTATTCTTTACTCGGACTTTTAAAAATAAGTAGTTACGAACTAGATTAAAATTTTGGCTAAAACTCGGCGATTTAATTTCTAAGTTACTTGATTGTAACCAATGACGTATATATTGTAACGGTTCTTGGTTCAGAGTCAACTCATGTAGTTTCGCCCTTTTTCTATCTTTTAAATCCACTCTCGTGGCAACATACCGACACTGCAAGACTGTGAAAGTTACTTTTATTTAACCGTAAAACTCTGTTGTTAGTGGGCACTTTAGTTACTTTAGAAGTTAAATTGGTTCTAGCTCTAAATACGCAGAAAAAATTTGAGACTGGAAATTAATTGAACGAAATTATTTTCCCTAGCCTCGATTAACCAGACGTGTATGATTAAACTAAAATTACGGTACTGGTCACAAGACTCGGATTCTAATCATTTAAGGGCGCTGCGAATTTGGCCTCCGGTTTTGTGTCAAATTTAATAGGAGGATGTGCCATTATGGATATGCCATTATTCGTGTTTAAATCCTTATGCATTTGCCATTTCTAACATGGTGGTTACAAAACGTTTCAGTTATAAATCCAGCAACAACTCATTTTTCTAGAACTGAAATGTAACCAAAAAGACGCGCATTGACTGTTTCATAATTATTAATCAGCGGCTGCCAGGCAGGATACACCCACATTTTCAAGAGATGGATAGAGAACAAGCTAACAAGAAAGTGATTTTTCCTACAATCAAGGGCCATAATTCAGGAAATTACAATTCGATATGCGCAAATATCGAAAGGAACGGAGATCTTTGTGTTATAAACTTACATTTCAAGTTTCAACAAAATCGAATAAAAATTGTGACCTCTATAGGGTCCACAACCTTGATATACCATATTTTTACGCTATTTGAGAACGAACAGCGGCCATTTTGTCTGTCAATTTTGGGCCGATTTTCATGAAATTCGAACTCAGTCGTCCTTTGGGTGTAACGGTGATATAATAATACGTTTTTTTAAATTGGATAAAAATTATGACCTCTATAGGGTCCAAAAGCTAAAAACGCGATTTTTCGTACAATCAGGGGCCATAATTCAGGAAGTTACGGTCCGATATGTGCGAATATCGAAAGGAACCCAGATCTTTGGGTTATAAACTTACATTTCAAGTTTCAACAAAATCGGATAAAAATTGTGACCTCTATAGGGTCCACAACCTTGATATACCATATTCTTCCGCTATTTGAGAATGAACGGGCGCCATTTTGTCTGTCAATTTTGGGCCGATTTTCACGAAATTCGAACTCAGTCGTCCTTAGGGTGTAACAGTGATATAATAATACGTTTTTTTAAATCGGATAAAAATTAGGACCTCTATAGGGTCCACAAGCTAAAAACTCGATTTTTCGTACAATCAGGGACTATAATTCAAGAAGTTACGGTCCGATATGCGTGAATATCGAAAGGATCCGAGATCTTTGGGTTATAAACTTACATTTTAAGTTTCAACAAAATCGGATAAAAATTGTGACCTCTATAGGGTCCACAACCTTGATATGGCATATTCTTATGCTATTTGAGAACGAACAGCGGCCATTTTGTCTGTCAATTTTGGCCGATTTTCATGAAATTCGAACTCGGTCGTCCTTTGGGTGTAACGGTGATATAATAATACGTTTTTTTAAATCGAATAAAAATTATGACCTCTATAGGGTCCAAAAGCTAAAAACGCGATTTTTCGTACAATCAGGGGCCATAATTCAGGAAGTTACGGTCCGATATGTGCGAATATCGAAAGGAACCCAGATCTTTGGGTTATAAACTCACATTTCAAGTTTCAACAAAATCGGATAAAAATTGTGACCTCTATAGGATCCACAACCTTGATATACCATATTCTTACGCTATTTGAGAATGAACGGGCGCCATTTTGTCTGTCAATTTTGGGCCGATTTTCACGAAATTCGAACTCAGTCGTCCTTAGGGTGTAACGGTGATATAATAATACGTTTTTTTAAATCGGATAAAAATTAGGACCTCTATAGGGTCCACAAGCTAAAAACTCGATTTTTCGTACAATCAGGGACCATAATTCAGGAAGTTACGGTCCGATATGCGTGAATATCGAAAGGATCCGAGATCTTTGGGTTATAAACTTACATTTTAAGTTTCAACAAAATCGGATAAAAATTGTGACCTCTATAGGGTCCACAACCTTGATATGGCATATTCTTATGCTATTTGAGAATGAACAGCGGCCATTTTGTCTGTCAATTTGGGGCCTATTTTCATGAAATTCGAACTCAGTCGTCCTTTGGGTGTAACGGTGATATAGTAACACGTTTTTGTAAATCGAATAAAAATTATGACCTCTATAGGGTCCAAAAGCTAAAAATACGATTTTTCGTACAATCAGGGGCCATAATTCAGGAAGTTACGGTCCGATATGTGCGAATATCGAAAGGAACCCAGATCTTTGGGTTATAAACTCACATTTCAAGTTTCAACAAAATCGGATAAAAATTGTGACCTCTATAGGGTCCACAACCTTGATATACCATATTCTTACGCTATTTGAGAACGAACAGCGGCCATTTTGTCTGTCAATTTTGGGCCGATTTGGGCCGAAATTCGAACTCAGTCGTCCTTAGGGTGTAAAGGTGATATAATAATACGTTTTTTTAAATCGGATAAAAATTATGACCTCTATAGGGTCCACAAGCTAAAAACACGATTTTTCGTACAATCAGGGGCCATAATTCAGGAAGTTACGGTCCGATATGCGTGAATATCGAAAGGAACCGAGATCTTTGGGTTATAAACTTACATTTCAAGTTTCAACAAAATCGGATAAAAATAGGGTCCACAAGCTAAAACGTGATTTTTCGTACAAACAGGGGCCATAATCCATGAAGTTTCGAGCCAAGATCTTTTGGAGATAAACCTATATTTCAAGTTTCGTCAAAATCGGATAAGAATTGTGACCTGTAGAGTGTCCACAAACAAATTGTGGACGGACGTACGGACAGACAGATGTCCGGACGGACATGGACGACGGCATAATATGTCCACATGAAAATGTGGGCGTATAAAAATATGAAAACGCTACACGATGCGTAAATTGTGCGTCTTACTTTCGAGAACAATAGCTATATAACAGAAATTTCCAGATTGATACATAATACGACACAACCAACAATAAGTGGTAATTCAAACACAATAAAGGCTATATTTAAACTTAAATTTCTCTAACATTTCACTAAAAGATCCCTATTGTAGAACTTCCAACTTATTATGTAGTCATTGTCATGCCGGTTGTTTTTAATAACAGAATTTTCCCGTCAAAGAACAGATCAAAGAATTTTTCGAGACGCATTGTCACGTATCGACTTTTATTTTTAGATTATCTGGCGCCTCAAATAGCCCAACCATATCAAAAGGCATGCAGTTCCACCTTGAAATAGGTTCAATTGATTTACGGTTTATTCTATAATTTATAACACAGTTTAGAGCGCAATGTGTAGGAGTCGCATTTTTGACTTCTAAGTAGATTCTTAAACGGAATTCCGGATGCAATGCTAGACATTTGGACCACTGCTGCCGAACCGATTTGAAAATGCTTAAGGGTTTTTTTCTTTGCGCATGTCGTGTGCTCCTCTGTTTTTGATGTGTATGATTTTTATATTTGTGATAATTATTTGATACAAAATAGGACTATCATAAAGGATTTTAACATCTACAATATGAGTACGGTAAGCACTCTCTGCGTTTGTAAACCACGAAATTCACCCCTTATTAGAAAGTTTAACTATAGTCTATTGCATGTAAATGTTAAAAAAAAATCAGCTCAAAATACAGACAACCTCTCTCCCTCTCTCTAACTTAGGGCTGCGCACGAGTACAAATGTTAAATTCAATCGTTAATTGTACGTACATAAAAAACGAAGAATACCGACTGCGGAAATTAAGAATTCGTTTTCCAGAGCAAAATTTGAAACTTTGATGTGACCAAGAAACATAACTCCTTTTGATGAAAAAATCTACCGCTGTAACGCTACTGGGGCGATCAACTTTTCCATATATTAGAAAGTCACATTCAAATGGTTAAATCACACAAATATCCAACTTAGCAATAGTTTAATTGTTAATGAATGATAATTTTAATGGCAAGTCTTATCATATAGCTCGTTTATTGGATTTTTGTTATTTGCACGAACCACTCTACTATAGGGTCCACAAGCTAAAAACGTGATTTTTCGTACAAACAGGGGCCATAATCAATGAAGTTTCGATCCGATACTTGCCAATATCGAAAGCAGCCGAGATCTGTAGAGTGTCCACAAACAATTGTGGACGGACGGACAGGAGCGATGACAATATACGTCCACGTGAAAATGTGGGCGTATAAAAATTGCGACCTCTAGAGTGTCCACAAGCTAAAAGCCATAATCCATGAAGTTTCGATCCGATACATGTCAATATCGAAAGGAACCAAGATCTTTTGGAGATAAACCTATATTTCAAATTTCGTCAAAATCAGATAAGAATTGTGACTAGAGTGTCCACAAACAAATTGTGGACGGACGGACAGGGGCGACGACAATATACGTCCACATGAAAGTGTGGGCATATAAAAAACAAGTCTATATGTTTTTAGATTAATAATAAGTTCAGTGAAATTAAAAGACAGTATATGTAGTACAGATAATCTACATCCACTCAATTAAAGGAAAAAACAATGGAGAACTTATAAAGGTGGAAATTTATGAAAAGTTTTCTAGTTATAATAGCATATCTTATTACTGAAAGAAGAACCAGCGGTTGCCAGGCAGGATACGCCCATATTTTGCAAGAGATGGATAGAAAACAAGCTAAAAACAAACAGGATTTTTTGTACAATCAGGGGCAATAATCCAGAAAGTTATGGTCTGAAATGCCCAAATATCAAAAGGGACTGAGATCTTTGGGATATAAAGATATGTTTTAAGTTTCAACAAAATCGGATAAAAATTGTGACCTCTATAGGGTCCACAACCTTCATAGCATACTTTTACACAATTTGCGCACAAAGTGCCGCCATTTTGTTGGGCAGTTTTATTTAGATTTTCCCGAAATTCGAATTCAACCTTCATTATGGTGGAATGGTTATATATTTATTTTAAACGGTTTTTAAAATCGGAAAAAAAAATTCTAGAGAATTTTTTGAACAATCAGGAGCCATAATCCAGGAAGTTACGGTGTAATGGTGATAATTTCGAACGTTTTTTTTAAATCAAATAATAATTGTGACCTCTAGGGGGACCACAAGCTAAAAACACGATTTTTTTTACATTCAAGGGCCATAATTCAGGAAGATACAATCGAAAGAAACCAAGATCTTTGGGTTATAAACATGTATTTCAACTTCATCAAAATCGGATTTAAATTGTGACCTCTAGAGGGTTCACAACCTTGATTTACCAGATGTTTACACTATTTGGGTTATAAACATGTATTTCAACTTCATCAAAATCGGATTTAAATTGTGACCTCTAGAGGGTTCACAACCTTGATTTACCAGATGTTTACACTATTTGTGTTCGAGGGGCGGCCATTTTGTCCAGCAGTTTTGGCCCAATTTTCACGAAATTTGAAGTCAACAAACATTATGGTGTAACGGTGATATATTCGAACGTTTTTTAAATCGAATAATAATTGTGACCTCTAGAGGTACGACAAGCTAAAACCGCTATTTTTCGTACAACCAGAGGCCATAATTAGGACGTTACGATTCGATATGCGCGAATATTGAAAGGTACCAAGATCTTTGGGTTATAAACTTGCATTTCAAGTTTCATCAAAATTGGATCAAAATTGTTGCCTCTAGAGGGTCCACAACTTTGTTTACACTATTTGGGTACGAGGGGCGGCCATTTTGTCTGGCAATTTTGGTCCGATTTTCATTAAAACTCGAAGTCAACAAACATAATGGTGTAACAGTGATATATATAAACGTTTTTTTAAATCTATATATATATATTTGAGACTGTCGTTTGTCTGTCTGTTCGGGGTTGGCGGCTACACTAGGTCTGCCCCGAGTCTGAAATTTGGGGTATAGGGGTAGCTCGGACCGGGGAGTAACATAGGCCAGGTGGCGTTAGTCTACCACTTCCGGTTTCGGAGTTATGACCCCCAAGCGAAGCCGGGTATCCTGCTAGTTGGATAATAATTGTTACCTCTAGAGGGACCACAAGCTAAAAACGCGATTTTTCGTACTATCAGGGGCCATAATTCAGGAAGTTACGATTCGATATGCACGAAAATAAAAAGGAACCAAGATATTTGGGTTATAAAGATGCATTTCAAATTTCATCAAAATCAGATGAACATTGTGACTGCCAGAGGATTCACAACCCTGATACACAATATTTTCGAACGAGGGGCGCGCCATTTTGTCCGTCAGTTTCAGTCCGATTTGTACGAAATTCAAACGCAAACATCCTTAGGGTGTAATGGTGATATATTCAAACGGTTTTGTAAATCGGATAAAAATTGTGACCTCTATGGGGTCCACAAGCTAAAACCGTGATTTTTCGTACAATCAGGGGCCATAATTCAGGAAGTTATGGTCCGGTATTCGCGAATATCGAAAGGAACCGAGATCTGTGGGTTATAAACAGGCATTTCAAGTTTCATCAAAATCAGATAAAAATTGTGTCCTCCAGAGGGTCCAAAACCCTGATACGCAATATTTTGACACTATTTGCGAACGAGACGCAGCCATTTTGTCCGTCAGTTTCGGTCTGATTTTTACGAAATTCGAACTCACCCATTCTTAGGGTGTAACAGTGAATATTCACACAGTTTTTTTTATCGGATAAAAATTGTGACCTCTATGGGGTCCACAAGCTAAAAACATGATTTTTCGTACAATCAGGGGCCATAATTCATGAAGTTATGGTCCGATATGCGCGAATATCGAAAGGAACCAAGGTCTTTGGGTTATAAACATACATTTCAAGTTTAAACTAAATCGGATAAAAATTGTTATTTCTACAGTGTTCACAAGCTAAATACGTGATTTTTCGTACAATCAGGGGCCATAATCCATGAAGTTACAGTCCCATACATGCCAATATCCAAAGGAAACAAGATCTTAGGGTGATAAACCTATATTTCATGTTTCATTGAAATCGGATAAAAATTGTGACCTGTAGAGTGTTCACAAACAATTGTGTACGGACGGACAGGGGGGGACGACAATATGTCCACATGAAAATGTTGGCGTATAAAAAACCTTACTGATTAAGTATTAATAGATGTCAATTCCACTTCTTTTACAACAACAATAAAAAAGTCAATCACTTTCAATAAGCACAGATTATTACTGTTGTCCATTTTTATGGGGAATAAGCTGGAAAGCACTATTTCATAACTTTATTCATAAGCTGCCAATAATTTGGCTGCTATTTCTATTGAAACACTTGACAAATCAACATCTCCTACTTTAGCTGAATTTAGAAGATTTTCAAATTCATTTGGAGTCATTTCAAAGAAGTTCTTCAACTTAACTACCACATCAAAGTCTACCAACTGTCCTTGGTGAGGTATCTTTTTGTCAACAATGGAAATGTCTTTATTAGGATGAGCTACTCGAGAATGTAACTTCACAGGGGTTATCTGGTTAGCTTCAAATAAACAGAATCCACATGAAAACTGTTTTAAATCTGTGTGCTTCTCAAGATGTTTTTCAAATCGCTTTTTTGATGGGTTACTAAAATTACATATACGACATCTGTAGCATTTTGGGGCAGCCAGCGATGGAACAAGCTTTGTAAAAGTACTGCGGTGTTGACCAAGGTGTTCTCGAAACTGGTATAAGTTATAACTTAAAACTTGACACTCAGAACAACTAAATTTAGACTGTGAGGAACTATCCTTACAGGAATCTGCAAAAAAGCCAAACAATCAGATTATATGGTTAAATATTATTTAGTGGATCATATTTTATCTCCCTAATATTAGACGAGCATTTAATTCTGATTAGACACAAATATATATAAATGTATCAAACAAAATAATTTGGTTCAGTATCTATTTATAAAAACGCAGGACTAAAACCTCTGTAAGCCTGTAACATTTCAAAGTTTGACATGTATGATCTGTCTAAAAGATAGGTTGCCAGGCAACAAAACATACGCCCCCAGCAGCTAAATCCTCTGAGTGGTCGACAAGGGTTGTCGCATATTTATTCCTTTGTAGGTAATTGGGGGCCTTTACAAGACAGTTCCATACAGATCAGATTATAATTTTTGTCGTTTGAGAGTTCACAAGGCTCTACAAACTGAAACAAGGGCCTCAACTCTGGAAGTAGTTTACAGAAATTGTTGAAATTTGACAGGCTTTTTTGTTTTACTAATTTAAATAATACATATAAATTTCATACAGATCGATGATCACTTTTGTCATTCAAACGTTCACAGGGTTCACAGAGTAAAACAAAGGCCATAACTCTAGAAATAATTGACGGAAATTGCTGAAATTCAATAGACGTTTGTTTTACAAATTTAAATGATGCATATAAATTTTATACATATTGGATGATACATGTAACTTTCATCAATCGAGCATTAACAAGGTTTAATAAAGTGAAACAAGGGCCATAACTCTAGACATAATAAACAGAAATTGCTGAAATTCGATAGGCCTCGTGGTTTCACTAATTTAAATAATGCATATAAATTTCAGAAAGATCGGATGATAACTTTTGGCGTTAGAGCGTTCACATGGTTCAATAAAGTGAAACAAGGGCCATAACTCTAGACGTAAAAAACGGAAATTGCTGAAATTCAATAGGATTCTTCGTTTCACTAATTTAAATAATGCATATAAATTTCACAAAGATCGAATGATAACTTTTGGCATATTAGCGTTCACAAAGTTCAACAGTGAAACAAGGGCCATAACTCTAGATGTAATAAACAGAAATTATTGAAATTAAATAGGCTTTTTCATCTCACTAATGTAAACCACATATATCAATTTTAAAACAATCGAAGAATAACTTTTGGATGACGGACGGATGGACGGAAATATACAACCACATTTCAATTTGGGCGTATAAAAATTATCCTAAGATGCAATAACACATATTCAATATGCGCAGCATGCAGAGTACAAGTTTAAAACAGTGTGAAGGGTTTTAAATTCAACCTCCCAATTTTCATGTTCATATAGATTTACATACCTGTACCTTGATTTGAGAAGAAAGGTTGCCAGGCAACAAAACATGCGCCCACAGCAGCTAAATCGTCTGAGTGGTCGACAAGGGTTGTCACATATTTATTCCTTTGTAGGTAATTGGGGGCCTTTTCAAGACAGTTCCATACAGATCAGATTATAATTTTGTAGGTAATTAGGGGGCATTTAATAGACAATTTCATACAGTTGACATTATAATTTTCACAAGGTCCTAAAAACTAAAACAAGGGCATTAACACTGGAAATAATCTACAGAAATTGTTGAAATTCGACAGGCTTTTTCGTTTTACTAATTCAAATAATGCATATAAATTTCATACAGATCGGATGATAACTTTTGTCGTTCGAGCGTTCACAAGGTTCAACAAAGTCAAACAAGGGCCTTAACTCTAGATGTAATTAACGGAAATTTGCTGAAACTCAATAGGCTTGTTCGTTTTACTAATTTAAACGATACATATAAATTTCATACAGATCGGATAATAACTTTTGTCGTCAGAGCATACACAAGGTGAAACAAGGGCCATAACTCACAGCATAATTAACAGAAATTGCTGAAATTCAATAGGCTTCTTCGTTTCACTAATTTAATGATGCATTTAAATTTCAAACAGATCGGATGATAACTGTTGTCATTAGAGCATTTACAAGATTCAACAAAGTGAAACAAGGGCCATAACTCTAGATGAAATTAACGTAAATTGCTGAAATGCAGAATTCAATAGGATTCTTTGTTTTAATAATTTAAATGATGCATATAAATTTCATACAGATCGGTTTATAACTTTTGTTGTTAGAGCGTTCACAAGATGCAACAAAGTGAAACAAGGGCCATAACTCCAGAAGAAATTAAAGGAAGTTATTGAAATTAAATAGGCTTCTTCATCTCACAAATGCAAACATCATATATCAATTTCAAAACAATCAGATGATAAATGTAGTCTGTAGAGTGTTCACAAGAAATTGTGGACGATGGACAGACGGACGGGGGCGATGACCATATACGACCACATGAAAATGTGGTCATATAAAAAACAAAACAATAACAATGGCCAATTGTGGACCTTTGTCTTAATTCAAATAAATTCACAATTAGTTCACCATAACATATTTTATTTACCTGCTCCATCCATCTGATGACTACATGTAGTGGCATTATCATGGGATTCTGGATATCGCAACTCAACGGTTCGGGACAATTTCTTACCATTGTGGTTATTGTAATGTTTAAATAAGTCTGATCTGGAAAGAAGAGATAGGTTGCCAAACAACGAAACACACACCCACAGCAGCTAAGTCATCCGGGCAGTCAAAAAGGGTTGTCGCATATTTTTTTCTTTTGTCGGTAATGAAACATTTACAATACATTAAAATCTGTTGCACAGTAACAATTTATTAGGTATTTATCAGAAATCAATAGAATGTGTTTGGCTTCTAGTTCTGCCCCATGTTAATGTTTAGTATACAAAACATTTAATATCATGGATTTAACTGTTCAAGTAATCACAAATCATTGAAAATTAACATACTTGTTCGTCTCAAGACCTTAAACTCTGTGTATAAATTTAAACTCAACTGAATGATAACTTTGGCCTGTAGACACTAACCCAGGTATCGTTTAATCTTGTGTATCTAGCACTAATTTCTTTCACATTTATTTAATATCAAATCTTTGTTTAAAAATTCGTAAAAATTGTTTAAAATCACCAAAAATCATCTAATTTGTACATGTGTCCATTTAAAGCTGACTGATTAATTTTGATAATGAGTGTCCAATTTACAAGTATTTAATTTCCTGATCACTGTTCCAAAATTATTCATTATACATCATTAATCAATTGGGTTGTTTATTTTTCAACAATGATTGAGAAATTAAACACTTGTAAATTGGACACTCATTATCAAAATTGAATGGTCATCTTTAAACTGGACAGAAGTACAAATTAAACAATTTATGGTGATTTTAAACAGTTTTTACAAATTTTTAAACAAAGATTTAATATTAAACGAATGTGAAAGAAATTAGTGCTAGATACACAAGATTAAACAATACAGTGAGAGCATCCACAAGATTTTTCAAAGTAATCAAGGGCTATAACTTGGCAGTAACTATTGTCAATCCTTGAAAATCAATAGAAGTTTTCGTCTCATAACCTTAAACACTGTGTGTAAATTTAAAATCAATCGATTGATAACCTTGGACTGTGATGTAATCAAGTGCCATAACTCTGGCAGTAATTATTGGAAGTCCTTGAAAATCAATAGGCTTCTTTGTCTCATGACCTTAAACACTGTATGAATTTAAGAGCCACTCCACGAGAAAACCATGCAGAAGGTTCGAAAGTGGGGGTTGGTCGATTGAGTTCATATTTACAGTGTTTGGTCGACTCATCGAGCCTACTTCCCAGCCAAAATCGCCGATTTTAGAAATCAACCGTTTCTGAGATACAGCCTGATTACATTTTTCGGCCGATTTTCGTCATTTTCAGGTCAAATTTCAACCATTTTTGTAGCATTGCTAAAGCCGTTAATCGACCAATGGCGAAATAAATTTTGGTTGGTGATTATAGTCCAGGTCTCCCCCTACCATATTATAATGGTCACCCAATGCAACCTCTCTTTCCTTAGGTGTCATGGCACTACACAAATTACGTGTCTGCAGACACCTGAATTATACTCTTTCTTCAAATTGGGATAACTCCACTGGAGCAGGGTTTGTGATAAAAATGAAAATCGTTTTATTTGCAGCTTGACCTGTTCTAACAACATAAAAAATAAAATTGTTGTCAACTAACCTTTAACAGCATGAAAATTTGTGTCGAAAGTTACGAAATTTGTTGCTTTTCGCGTCGAATTTCAGTTTCTTAAGTGTTGGGATTTTGCTATTTTCCAAATGTCCGGCCATGAATATGCCCAATCGGACATCAAGATATGATGAATAATATTCAGAATTTCAAAATTAATATAGTAAACTGAGTGTATAGGATTACAAAATTCGCAGGAATTTTCAAACAGGGTAATTTCCCGGGAATTTTGGGAATTTTCTGGGAATTTTGGGGAATTTTCAATTTGGTGTCATAAATTGAAATGAAATGAAATGGGGTTTAACGATTGAAACCTGTGTTGCTATTAATGAGTTGCACGTGACAGTAATATTTTAATAACTAAAAGACACAAAACATATTATCTGATACATGTATGTCATATATACTAAAATCAAATAACTAATAGAGATAGTTCTGTTAAATTGTTCATACACAGGTTACACATTCTATAATTAATGCTCAAAGTAAGGTAACTCTGCCATTTCATCATTATCTTCGAAATCATTATCTACATCATCATCAGTGTATAAAAGGGAGATTTCAGGTTCGGATGAATCCTCATGAATATTTGAAATTTCTGTGCTGGAAGGATCGTTGTCAGCTTCGAAGAGTTTCAAATTTGATCTTATACAGACCAACTTTTCAACACGTTCATTTGTTAATCTGTTTCTAACTTTTGTATGAGTTGTACCAAACAGAGACCAAATGCGTTCTGATGCTGCTGATAAAGGTGGTATTGCAAGAATTAATGAAGCTTTTCCTTGAAACAGCTTCTGGTGCACACAGTCCCTTCCACCAAATTGATGCAGAAATATATTCTGATGATGCCCAAATACTTTCTCCTTTCCACAATCCATCTTTTGACCGATATTTAGCCCAACTAGCCATTACTTTGCCTTCATTAAGTTTGTAATGTGATGCAAGGGAACTAATGAATTCATATTCTTCATCACCAAGAGGTAAAGCATTTTGGTAACAGTTGGGATCTAGCATATAGGCAGCCGCATGAATAGGCTTAAGGCAAAATTGCTTTCTTTTCTGTAAAAATCCAAGTATGGACTTTTCTTCAGCTGTTGTAAGTGGGGATTGCTGGACATTTTCAGTAAGTTTTGTTTCCAATTCATTGAAAATTCTAAACACACATATAGAATTGCTTTATCTCCTACTTCAGTTATTGCTTGAGCTATTGGTTCTATCAGTTTTAAAGTGTTTGTTAACCTTGTCCAAAATATATATCGTTAATATAACTTATCAAGTAATATCTTTCGGATATCAGCTTCAATACTGATAGATTCCATTATGGCTAATTCTTGCAGGGATTCTTTTCCAACTAAAAGACTTTTATACATTATGACTATTTTAATAGTTTATACATGTATAGATGAAAGTAAAAGAGAAAAAAGAAATTCCAGTAAATAATTATAATTTTAGTATTTTTCAGTTCTAAAAATAGATTTGAAAATTCCCAAAAATTCCCAACACTGAAAATTCCCGGAAAGTTTCCCTGGAAAGTTTCCAAACTTCCCGGAAAGTTTCCCACCCTTTGCAACCCTATGAGTGTATAACTACCACTCATTCAAATAAATGTTGATAAGCTGGATTGATTAGGTAATTAAGTGATCAGTGTATTTATCGTATTATACCATCTATACACCTACGTTGTTTACCTGCTTCTGTCTTGCTTGACTGACTTATTACTTTGTCGGGAAAGTCATCAATCCAATAAGGGTGAGTACCAACCTTATCTATGTCATTACCTCGGTGGTTTCTTCATTGCCAGAAAATTTAATCTCATTGATATCAACCGACAGCACGTAGAAACTAGTCCTTGATGTCACATATTATCCCAATAGTATATATAACACCCAAAATCAATGGACAGTCATTATAAATTTCAAAACCTCTGTCTATTGTTAGCTATTAAACCTTCCCGTGAGCTCGATTATCGCACGAAAATCGCTTACTATGTAAGGCAGTGCATACTACAAAACTATTGTATGTGTTATATGTTAATGGTCACGTACGCCACACGCCAAAGTTATGTATGCCTTTTACAAGTGATTTAAATATCAATGATCAATGTAATTTTAAAATACCATTTTACGAAAAATGATTTGACATCACCACAAATAATTCTTATTTCGGACGCCTTTCTTCATTTGCTGACATGCGACAATATCAAAAGGAGCAAAGATCTTTGGGATATAAAAGTATATATACTATTCAAAAAAAGTAGGGGATATTTGATTTTGGGGGCATAATACTAAAATATGCAAATGACTACGAAAAAAGTCACTATAGAACCTAACAGAAGAAACATTTCCAGTTACATGTGACGCCCAAAGGCACCAATAGCTACCGCATGGAATGCAGGTGATGCTTGGGATCATCATGGGGGTCCAACCCAAGATTTGCACGACTCTGACTTTGAATGTTACAGTCATTGTGGCATTGAATTCCAGGGTGGAAACATCAGTTTAATTGTTTTAGTGACCAGAAAACAAATTTTGATATGCGTCGGCTTACCCAAAATGAAAGGTTACGTGCCCTTGGCATGCTACAGATCGGCACAACACAGGCGGTTGTGGCGCGGACGATGAATGTTTCTCAGTCTGTCATAAGCAGGCTATGGTCCAGATACCGTGATACACAATCTGTACAGGACAGACCACGCTCAGGTCGACCAAGGGCGACAACTCAAGCCCAGGATCGATTTATCCGTACCTTGGCCTTGAGAAATCGTGTCATCACAGCAAATCAGATCAGCGCTCGTCTTCAAACAGACACTGGTGTGAGAGTGAGTGGTCAGACGATTCGGAATCGACTGCATAGGGGTCACCTTCGCGCCCGACGTCCTCGCGTGATCCCTTGTTTGAGAGATCATCACATTCAGGCAAGACGTCGTTGGTGTAGGGATCGTCAACACTGGGATTATCGACGCTGGAGCAATGTGATGTTTTCAGATGAGTCAAGGTTCACTGTTGATTTTTTGGACAGACGTAGGAGGGTGTGGCGTCGTCGAAACGAGCGCTTCCAAGACGTTAACGTCATCAGACATGATCGATTTGGGGGTGGTTCTGTTATGGTGTGGGGAGGCATCACTGTTGCTGGAAGAACGGCTTTACATGTTGTTGTAGGGCGTGTTACAGGCCAGTACTACCGGGACAACATCTTGGCAGTCCATGTTGTGCCGTTCGCACGACGTCATGGCCGCCGTTTCATCTTCCAGGATGACAACGCAAGATGTCACAGGGCCAGGATCGTTACAGGTTACCTCCAACAACAGAACATCACCACATTACCTTGGCCAGCACTGAGTCCCGACCTCTCCCCCATCGAGCATGTCTGGGACATGCTTGGACAGAGGTTACGTCAAAATCAACAACGTCCTGCCAATGTCCAAGAACTTGCTGCTGC